AGACGTTCGACAGGGTAGGACGGCGACAAGGTTTCTTCTGAGCAGTGAATGAAGGGAAAAGCGGTCGGCAGGCTGGAACGATCGTCTCGAGTACTCGCGGACGAACTCGGGCTTCTTGCTGACGAAACAGGGCTTATGCTAAGCTCGTTCTCCTTTGAACGAAGATCTACGTCTGCTGACGAGCCTACGTTTCTGAAGCTTCGGAGAAAACTCTGAGGGTTTGTAGCTCGAACGTCCTTCGTTCGAGAACAATCTAGCTTTGCGCTTTGCACCGCCGCCGTATCCCCACAGTCGGGATTGAAAAGCAAGTGTGGGCTCGCTGTTCAGTTTTGAATCCTCAGCTTGCCCCAAATCCCAGATTCAACTCTAGCTGATCGGGAAGGGTTTCACATAAATATTTAACGGTACAGAGCGTTTTACCACGGCGAAATGCGTTAACACGGTGCTCACGTACGTGCACTTCGACGTGCATCTGGGGCTGGAGCATCTGCCGAAGGGAATCAACTCCCTAGCGGGGTCTGAAATTGACGCGCGGCGATAGGGAATAAATTAGCAAAGCGCGCCGGAACATTGTGCCCTGATTGGCAATGCTTTTGCAAGGTGACTGGGTTACTGATGGCGAACGGCATGGCAATTGGTCAATGTGATGCTGACTGGGTAAGAGGAACCGTCAGGTGCAGTCGAATGCACGTGGAATAATGTCTCGCTGAGCAAGCACGACAGAAGACTCAATACTGCATGATGCAATGTGCGTGCACTAATCGCCATGGAAAGCCCACACTTGTGGAAACAATAATACGCAAAGTAGATATTCCTAGGATATCATCGGAGTTCTTGCACACCTCGCTGCACAGACATCCGGATAGTGTTAGATGACAGAAATATAGGTATACACTCCATCTACACAGCCCTGACACAAGTCTTCATATTTATTCCAAACCAAGGATGATGTGCATGGTGCACCCATGAACCCCTTTCCCCTTCATCCCTTGACCTTTCAGATACCTTATACAATGACTCATAGAAGATAGGCCAGCCTTGATGGCCTTCGGCAACAGTCAGCACCATCAGCACGTCTTCTTGCATATCCAATAAGCTTGAAACCTCTGCAAATATCAAGTTTGACAGAGTAAAGCACGATGAGGGAAAGCTCAACAATGAAAATGAAAAGACAACGGAAAAAAAAAAAAAAAAAAAAAAAAAAAAACTTCGTGGTTCTTGCCTGGAAATATGTCTTGCAGAAGGTTGGCTATATGTGCAGTTTCACACCATACGTGGAGAATGGCTCGAGAGAAGCAGTGCATGGGAGAGATGCCCGACCATGCCACCACCTGCACACCTCACAACCAGCACAATTGCATCAGCTTCAAGAGACGAGGAGTACACGCAAAAGTTGCAGACAAGGTGCCAACAAATAGAGAAAATGGCAGTTTTAAAAACACAAGCCTTATCACTTATCACTTACCAGCCCGTGCAGCTTCTTCCTGAGCAGGGCACGAGCGCGGTGGCAGTCGAAGAGAGCAGGGTCAGGGTACATCATGGCTCGAGTGACGGACACTCCAAAGCGCTGCCCAAACAAGCTGCAGATGTAATCCACCTTCTTCCAGTTGCTGTCGCAGTACTTGATCTGCCATGAAATCAAACCAGCAGATTGTTTGTATCGGTTTTGGAAGCGAGACAGAGAGTGAAAAGCAGGAGCAGGTGCACAGAATATGTGTTTCTTACCTCCATTTCTGAAATTATGTCAGTTGCGCCGAAGTGTCGCACGAAATACTCCACGGAAAGTGACTGCAGAGGAGGAGAATAGGCGAAAGAGGGTGGTACTGTTATTAACTAGAAAACAAAGCACGAGACAGCGAGTGATGCACATGAGATTGCAAGGAAAGACTCACCTCAGAAATAACGGAAGCGCCGCCCGCATTAGGTGAGGAGGCGACCCGGGCGGCATGTTCTGACAGAGAGAAGTGCAGGAACGGCGCTCGGGCTTCAAACTCGGACACAAATACACGCACGGCATAGCACCCTTCGGGTCCCTCTTCTCTGTGCGTGTCAGAAGTGCAGCCATCCTGCTGTCCCCGCTGTTCCTGCTGCTCAGCAGCAGATGCTTCAGTTACAATCACACCCTCATCATCAACGGCATTGCCTGGAATCTCCAGATTAGATTCCTTGCTCAAATCGAGGTCGGAGATCTCATCCTCTGATAAAGTCAGTGTCTCGCTGCCGACGATGTTCGTAACCGAGTGCCCGAAGAGCCACCATAAACCAAGAGAATCAACGGCCAGTATCCAATCCTCTTCTGCTGCTGCATCATCCGCCGCAATCGTCGCCCAGAAATCTCTGCTGCAGGTCTCGTCCACGTCAGCGCAGTCCGCCGCTTGCCACGTGTGCAGGGAGGCTACAGCCGTGGCAGCAGCATCTGTAGCGCGCCTGAGGGCCTCCCAGAGGGCGACGCCAGCGGACGGCGCCACGGCACGAATGATGAAGTCAGCATGTGATGCTGCTGCGGCTGTAGCAGCAGTGGCGGCTGTAGCAAGAGGGGCGGATGTAGCTCCAGCGCCGGTTGTGGCACCAGAGGCGGATGTAGCGTCTGCTTCCCTTGTGCATGAGGAGGTTGGCACATCTGTAGCGTGCGAGCTGGATTGGGAAGTAGCTTCTCCTGGGAGAGTGCCGCGAAGGGGAGACGCTACAGCCGCCGCTACAGCCGATACAGCAGGGGCGTGAGCTCGAACACCCGCTCCAGGTGCAGCGCTTCGAAGGATTTGATTCTCCTCCACTTCGCGGGTTTGATTCGGGATTTGATTCTCCACCAGCTGGGTCGGATTCCGAGGCTGGGCCGCCTCCCAGATCATCGGACGCACCGCTCGGCTCCACGTCGGCCCCGTCGCTACTGCCGCAACCGCCGCTTCCGTCACACTCAATATTGTCACATCCAGAGTTGATTGTATGTGCGCCTGTCTCCCCTCCGCCGTTTCCGCCGCGTTCCTCGCGTGATTCGTGATGCTTTCGGAGGCTGGAGTCACTGGGGCCGCCAATAACCCGATTCTTCCGCCGCCATTCGCGCCGCGTCTGCCGCTCTGTCCCCTCTCCCGTGTGGATTGAGGAGGATCCAGTCTGGCCGGCAGTTGCGGCGCTTCGTATCCGTCTCACACGGCGGAGGTTGCTGGGAGAACGAGTGGCGTCGCATGAACGACCGAGGCGCTGTTGAAGAGCCATGGCTTCCGGCGTTTCGGTGTGAATGCGGCTCGATTTCTAAGAGGAGGCGAAAAAAACAGCTACGTGTAACTAAGAAGCTGGTGAGAAATAAGACTTGGAAAATGTGTATCGTTCTGACCTTACATGCTGGCAGGAGTCAACGAGTGACACACTGATGCTCAGTACCCACGTGTTAGTAGCCTTTTATAACATGGCCGACGCGCGGCTCCTGCTACTACTATGCTAGTATCAGCACTATTCCCTGGAAATGTTTCCAGCCATGGTTTTGCTCCTGAAATTCACGACAGTCCGAAACTTTGCACGAAAGTTCCGTTCCGCGATTTCCCGGCTATCTGACGAGGTGTTTCTGGGTTACTTTGTTTTCGTTGACGTGGATGTTGTATGCATTGACTCAGCAAGGACCTGGGGGACTCACTTGGTGGGTGGCTTGGGTTACACGCGAAAACGAAGATTTGTAATTGGTCGCAGTCGTTACGGGGTTTACGCAAGCAGGGTTTTCTGAACGTGCTCCGCTGTAAGAGTTTTCGGCATTTGACAGTTGTAGGGTTTGAGAGATGCAGATTCAATTGATTAGTTTAGAAAGCATTTACACGCCCAGCTGCTCGCTGCGTTTGTGTCACTTGCCGGCTTTGGCGAAAGTGGCGAACAGGTGCGGATGAAGTGACTCCACTCCACCTCGACCTAGTTGTGGGCGGCACAGAGACTCAGGCCTTTATATTCGGTACAGAACATTGGAGTACGGTCAAGAGCAGTAGTCAGTCTTGTTGAACTGAAATGTAGTGAGGTTGTTGAGTTCCACTGGCGCTGGTTGGAGATTGGTGGTTTATTTGAAGACACTCCTGCGAAACATTTCAGAAACGCACTGAACCCACTCGAACCCTGTTTTGGATTTAACAACGCTTCACAACCTTCCATTTTTCTCGCATCAGGGAAAGTACACCCTAGCATCAGTTTACTGTACATCAGCCATTTTACGACTGGTCGTACTTACCACCACCACCACGTTCTGGTTCATGCACTTCGTCCTTTCCCTACATAGAAACCCCATTTTCCATTACGAACGCGAGACTCGTCTGAATCGTTTCGCACGTCCAGAGCTATCAGCCTCTCGCGTAGTCTGTGTAGCGATTACACATACTAGTCACCCCGAGTTTGGTAAGCTGAGGGTTCCCTCGGAGCGCTCTCTTTCCGCTCCTGCATTCGTACCCTCTTATTATCGTGAAACACATTGCCGACAGGGCTTGGAGCCTTTGGCGCTGCTCCCTACCAGCAGGAGTTCCCTACCATTATTCCCAATGGCCCTTCCGTTACCATCACAACCTCCAGGCGGCGTGGCTGAATAGGTAAAAATCGTCGCTTGTGAGTCCTCTTAGGGAATTCTCGAGCACCGCGTTCGTGTATGTGACCGCATAGGCCCGCATCGTGGGCTAAGCGAGCCCTCCTGTTCGACGACTCTGGTAACCTGTTTCGCATTCTAATTGGTTCGCCAACTGATGGGCCGACGTAGTTCATGGGTCCGCATAATCATGGGTCTCCTACGGCATCACGGAGTTCGCTCTCAACGCCGACTGATCATGCTCCGTGTTCAAATGCCGTGTCATTAGTTGTCGTTTCGATAATCTACAAACGGAAGCCCTTTTAACGAACCAGCCGCGTCTTCTATCCGTCAACAGCTCGAACATTTCTGCCCTCCTTGTTCGTTAGGAGCAAGAGCAGCAGCAACAGACACAGAAGGAGCAGCGGCAGCGGCAGCGGCGGCGGGGTCGGCGGTTTGACCTAACAGGGGAATGGGAGGGTGCTTATCGGTGGAGGTGATTGCAGAGAGCGCGCCCAGTTCGCCCTTCGGTAACGTCACATCCACCACGCCCAGATCCCGCGCTCATTCCGTCGTTTCCACCCCTGGTGGTAACCAGCGTTACGCGACAGGGTTTTCGCCACGAACGCCGAGGGAAGCTGGGGATGGGAGCGAGGCGGAGGGTAACGGAGCAGGGGGCGGAGGGGTGGCGGGTGGAGGGGGGAAGTTTAGAAGGGGCGCGGGGAGGGGGAAAAGGGTGGGGAGCGGAGTTGGCGGAGCGAAGGCCGTGTCTAGCGGCGGGGGGAGAGGGGGCGGAGGGGAGGGAGGGGAAGGAGGGTGGGGACGGGGAGCGGAGAGGCAAGGGGGGGCGGTAGGGAGGGGGAATGGGAGAGGGGGAGGAGGGGACGGGTACGGCGGAGGTGGCAACTTGGCAGCACCGCAGAGCGTGCCTGTGGAGCAAACAGCTGGTGTCCCATCGGTAGGGAGAGAGGGACTATGGCTGGCGTGTTGCTCTCCTCTGGAGACTTTTGAGTCGACTCAAAAGTCACCTAATGGCTGGCTTGTTGTTCCCTCTGAAGTGTGCTTTACCTTGACTGAAGCACACCAGGGTGCTGCGCAGGCGGTGGCTTGGCAGCACAGCACTGCAGAGCGAGCCTGTGGAGCAAGCAGATGGTGTTGCATCAGGTAGGGAGGGGCTACTGGCTTTTGAGGCGCCTCAAAACGTGACAGCACAGCAGCGCAGAGCGTGCCTGTGGAGCAGCAAGCAGGTGGTGTCCCATCAGGTAGGTAGGGAGTAATGGCTGCTCTGCTCCCTCCCCGCCCCCCTCGGTGTGCTCCGATCGACTCTAAACACACGTGGGTACCGTATGGCGGGGCGGGCAGCTTGGCAGCACCGCAGCGCGTGACTGTGGAGCAAGCAGATGGTGTCCCATCAGGTAGGGAGAGGCTAATGGCTGCTCTGCTCCCTCCCCCGTCCCCCTTGGTGTGCTCTGATCGGCTCTAAACACACCTGGGTATGGGGGAGGTGGCAACTTGGCAGCACCGCAGCGCGTGTCTGTAGGGCACGCAGGTGGTGTTGCAACAGCTAGGAGGGCTGCTCTGCCTGCCCCCACCTTTCCAGTTTTGAGAGTTCCCAACATTTGAGACGTCTCAAAACCAGAGCGTGACTGGCGAGCACGCAGGTGGTGTTGCAACAGCTAGGAGGGCTGCTCTGCCTGCCCCCACCTTTCCACCCTTCCCACCCACGTGCCCATCACCCCTCTCCTCTTCCCCTCCCCCCACGCTCCCCTTGTTTTTCCTTTCTCTCTTCCCCCACCATTTTCCCTCCCTCAACCCCCATTCCCCTCCGGCCCCCAACACCGCCCCTTTTTCGACGTTGGTCTGTCACAGTCCCTCCCCGCAGGCTGAGATTAGTTGGTTTCGATCCGCAGCAAGCCTACTAAGAGCGAACTAATTCTACGTTGCTCTGGCACAATCCCCTTCCCCTCCCATCCCCAACACCGCCCTTTTTCGACGTTGGTCTGTCTGGCACAGTTCCTCCCCGCAGGCTTCGAATGGACCAGCCATTTTGTTGCAGATGCAATTTGAGAAATCTCAAAAAAGACCATCAATCCCCCTTCCCCTCTCGTCACCCCCTCCCCTTTTTTCAACGTGTTCTGCTGCACAATCCCCCAGGCTTTGGACCAACCACCCCTGAACTCACTTCCTTCCACCAACTCTTTCCCACCCAGGTGTCTCAAACACACTCCACCCCTTCTATACTTTCCCCCGTCCCCTCCCCCCTCCCCTCCCCCCTCCCCTGCCCATCCCCACCCTGCCCCTTCCCACCACCTGCCCCCCAGCGTGGTTTCGCACAGAAACCCTAATTTAGAACCATTCCCAGCTCGTCACTATCCTCTTGTTCCAACTCCCCTCCCCTGTTAAGGTGCGTTTTGAGTCGACGTTTTTGTAGTCGACTCAAAACCCTTATTCAAAACCCTTATTCAAAACCATTCCCCTCTTCTCAGTATCCTCTTGTCCCACCTCCCCTTCTAAGACGCCTTAACTAGCTATCCTTTTCTCCTCCCCTGCCGCCTTGCTTTCCCCCTCTTCCTTCTCTTCCCCCTCTTCCCCCTCTTCCCCCTCTTCCCCTTCTTCCCCCTCTTCCCCCTCTTCCCCCTCTTCCCCCCCTTCCCCCCCTGTCTCCCAACGTCAACCCCCCTGTCCCCACAGGGAACCCAAGGCCAGAACCACCCACCTCAGATGCCACCTTCACCAACTCAGCCGACCTTTTCCGCCGCCCAGCCAACAACGTCCTCCGAGCCCAGGGACGGAGATTCAAACCAATGTGTGCCCCCACAGTCACAGGGAACCCGGGATTCAAACAAACCGCCTCAGATACCACCTCCACCAACTCTGCTGCCCTTTCCCCCCCTCGACCCCCCAACCTTAACTCCCCCAGATGCCACCTCCACCAACTCTGCCGGCCTTTCCGCCACCCAGTCGACGTCCTCCGATCCCAAGGACGGGCGGGGCACCGCCCGCAAGTTCCGGCTGCACGAGCTGCGGGCGGCGACGTCGTCTTTTAGCAAGAAGGCGGTGCTGGGGCGGGGCAGCTTCGGGGAGGTGTATCTGGGGAAGCTGGGCGGGAAGGAGAGCAAGGAGGTGGTGGAAGTGGCGGTGAAAAAACTGAATCCGGAGAGCTCACAAGGGCTGGACGAATGGTTGGTGAGTGAATGGGGGTTGTTTTTGACGCCTGGATAATAACTGCAGGGAAGCTGGGCGGGAAGGAGAGCAAGGAGGTGGTGTAAGTGGCGGTGAAATAGCTGAATCCGGAGAGTTCTCAGGGGCTGGACGAATGGCTGGTGAGCGGGGAGAGAAGGTGTGTGATGGGAATGCATGGTGAGTTAGTGAGGGGAATAGGGTGTATTTGAGGAAGCTGGGGGGAAAGGAGAGCAAGGAGGTGGTGGAAGTGGCGGTGAAAAAACTCAACCCAGAAAGTTCACAGGGGCTGGACGAATGGCTGGTCAGTGGGATGGGATGGGATTGGATTAGGGGGGGCCCTATGGGGCATGGCAGCTTTGGGAGGAGTATCTGGGGAAGGAGAGCAAGGAGGTGGTGGAAGTGGCGGTGAAGAAACCGAATTCGGAGAGTTCTCAGGGGCTTGATGAATGGCTGGTGAGTGGGTGGAGAGGTGAGGGGTTGGTGTGAGGGAAAGGGGGGGTTGGTGTGAATTCTAGATTGATATTGCCTGGAGCCTGTTAGGGAGCTCTGATGTGATCTCCCATCTCAGCAACAATCATGAGACCCTCAAGGGCGAGGGACCCCCCTTTTCCCCTTGAGTGAGCTCTTTCACGGGAGGCCCGTGAGGGAGTGAGCTCTCTCCTTTGACCCCACTCCTCCCCCACAGGCGGAGATAGTGCTGCTGAGGAAGCTGCACCATCCCAATCTGGTGGAGCTCATAGGCTACCGCAACTCTCAGACGTCGTTCCTTTCTCTTCTCCTCTTCATATCTCCCACCCCTTCCGCCCTCTCTTCTCCCCCACAGGCGGAGATAGTGCTGCTGAGGAAGCTGCACCATCCCAATCTGGTGGAGCTCATAGGCTACTGTGCAGAGAAGGGTGAGGCGCTGCTGGTGTATGGGCTCTGCCCTAATGGCAGCCTGGACGACCGCCTATTCCCCCGTGAGTGCGCAGCTTCACTGCCTAATGGCTTTGAAGCACATGCCAGCATTCAGTGTGTTTTTGAGTCGACTCAAAAGCAGCTTCACTGCCTAATGGCTTTGAAGCACATGCCAGCATTCAGTGTGTTTTTGAGTCGACTCAAAAACAGCTTCACTGTTTTATGGCTTTGAAGCACATGCCAGCATTCAGTGTGTTTTTGAGTCGACTCAAAAACAGCTTCACGGCTTTGAAGCACATGCCAGCATTCAGTGTGTTTTTGAGTCGACTAAAAAACAGCTTCACTGCCTAATGGCTTTGAAGCACATGCCAGCATTCAGTGTGTTTTTGAGTCGACTCAAAAACAGCTTCACTGCCTAATGGCTTTGAAGCACATGGCAGCATTCAGTGTGTTTTTGAGTCGACTCAAAAACAGCTTCCCTGCCTAATGGCTTTGAAGCACATGCCAGCATTCAGTGTATGTGTACATGCACTGCATGTGCACATATTAGAGATGAGTGAGGGCCCTGCTGGTGTATGGGCTCTGCCCCAAATGGCAGCCTGGACGACGGCCTGTTCCCCCGTGAGTGCGCTGCTATGCCTACATGTATGCTGTACACACACATGTACTCCTGCGCACATACCAGTGGCGAGGCGCTGCTGATGTATGGGCTCTGCCCCAACGGCAGCCTAGACGACGGCCTGTTTCCCTGTAAGTTTCATGTATTACCCGTGCCGTATTTATAGTGCATGCACACATGCACACATGAGCCACACACGTACTGGTGCGCGCTGCTGGTGTACGGGCTGTGCCCCAACAACAGCCTGGACGACCGATTGTTTCCCCGTGAGTGAACTCGTTTGGCTACATGTATCATGTATCATACACACATGCATACATGATGCCTGCTGTGCCGAGAAGGGCGAGGCGCTGCTGTTGTATGGGCTCTCCCCCAACGGTAGCCTGGGCGACCGGCTGTTCCGCTGTGAGTCTCATCCCCGCACACATGCATCCGCACACATGCATCCGCACACATGCATCCGCACACATGCACGTGAGTATCAGCTTTTCCCCTTACCCCCTCGTCCTCCCCTCTCATCACATGCATCAGGGCGGATGGAGGAAAAAAAGCATTGACTGGCCCACATGGCTTTGGTTCAGCTCGTCGTTTGTCGCTTGACTAACCCCTTGTATTCATCCTCGTTATTGGCTCATCCTCGTTTGCCTTTCTCTCTCTCACTCACCCCTTGTGTGCATGCAGGGCGGGAGGTCGATATCATCAACTGGCCCTCTTGCTTTTATGTGGCTCATCTCTTGACTGGCCTTGACTGGCTCATTCCCGTTTACCTCTCTCAGTCACTCGCCCCTTCTGTGTGAAGGTGTCTCATGATCTCATCACCCCTTCCCCCCTCAACCTCGTGTTCCCTCTCGTAACCCCATCTCACCCCTTGTGTGCATGCAGGGCGGGAGGTCGATATCATCAACTGGCCCACGAGCGTGTGGATAGGGCGGATGGAGGAAGGAGAGCAGAAGTGGACACCAGTTAGGTGCCATTGCAATAATACGTGGCAGCAACTTAGGTTCAACACCTGGTGAAATGTCAGTAGTACTTTGTAAAAAATGCTCGTATAAAAATCACGGTGGTAACCGGTTTCGGCTAGAATGCCTTCTTCAGACCACAAGCAATCTACTGAACGCGTACTACTTTATATGCCTAGAAAATGTCATCCTAGACTCAGGCCCGCGCGGGAAATCTTCGCTGCGGCGAGTTCGGGAACAACAGGCAAAAGCGAGATGAGAGAACAAGTGTAACAGCAACAAAACTACTGTAGTCTAACACTTATTAGCAGAAATCAAATAACTGCCAACTCTCTTAGGTAGTCTCCATGCGATTATAGCTCTCCTTGATGAAAAAATGTCGTGTGCCATAGTAACGAGGTGACTTTTGAGTCGACTCAAAAGTTTCCCCATGTGCGAACGGTCAACCAGCGGGTTGAGCAGCGATTTCAGCACAAGGGGGCCACGTTTAGGAGAATCGCGAATGGAAGAGGCACGGTCGAGAAGTTCCCTCCGAGAGGCGAACAGAACTGACTTGAAGATTGGTAAAAGGAATTTCTCCGGGTATCCTCGGGCTCGCAGCCGAGCAAAGAAGAGGGCACGGGAATTGTAAAAGTCAGTGCGAGAAGATGAGCGCAGTAAGAAGCGATGAAGCTCACTGCGAATGAAACCCTGTTTGGTGGTACGGGTATGGTAAGACCTGAAAGGTAGGTATAAGTACCGATTCATGGGTTTTTGAAACAGCTTCACATCCAGAATTCCGGTCTTGCTGAAGCGTTCCCCCTTGAAAAAGGTCACATCCAAAAAATCCATGGTGGACTCCGAGAGGACCCAGGTCAGACGAATTGACGGGTGAAGAGAATCGAAGCGCTCTTTCAGCCGTTGAAAATCCTCCCGCCTTCCTTCCCATAAAATCAGACCGTCGTCGATGAAACGAAGGTGGAGGGCAGGAGGAGAAGGAATGGAAGAGTGTAGTTGAATGTCCAAAAAACTCATAAAAAGAACCGCGAAGCAAACTGCGACTGAGGTTCCCATAGCAGTGCCGTGGATTTGGCGAAAAAATCTGCCGTTGAAAGAGACATAGCTGTTAAACATGACCCATCAGTGATTAACGGGGCTAAAGGGTGTCTTGCTTTCTGTAAGAAAAAAGAAACAGCGTCAATGCCATCCAGTAAAGGAATAGATGGGTAGAGGGATTCTACGTCATATGAGGCAAGGAAAAGGTCTTTCGAAAAACGCCGATGCTCAAGCTGAAGTATAAGGCTCTGGGAGTCTTTAACATAGGTAGTCTGCTCCAGCACTAAAGGTCTTAGAACAGAATCAAGCCAGCGAGAGACGTTGGATGTAATCCAGGAGTGACAGGCCGCTATAGGTCTTCCAGCAGGAATCTTTTTATGGAACTTCAGTAGAACGTAAAAGGCAGGTACCTTCCAGCCGTTAGTAGGCTTATTGAAAAAAGAAGTCCAGATCCGTTTAGGAAGAAGCGGCTCATAGTCGGAATGAATAGAATGAAGGCCTTGCAGGATATCATTAATCGGGACTGTGGAGTATTCACGGTAGACTTTAGTATTAACAAGATGTTGAAAACATTTATCTTGATAAAAGTCCCTGCTCATCACTGTTAGTCCGAGGTTTTTATCTGCAGGCTTAAAAATGAGGTTAGGATTGCTAGCGAGTCGTCGGAGAATAGGAACGTAGTTCTTTCGGGGATGTCTCTGATATGATTGTCCGCGGATGTCCTTAATCACCGAGTCTTTAAAAACCACTAGGGCTGTTTCGATCTCGGCTGAGGCTGGCGGTGGATTCCAGTTCGTTCTCCTTGGCAGTTTATAGCCTGGATAATCAGAAACGAGATTAGATCCTCCAAAAAGATACATGGTTCGAATGCTCCTAATGAAAGAAACAAGCTCCTCATCTACGCTAGCAATGGATCGGATGGATGGGGTTGGGATGAATTTGAAACCGAGGCTCAAGAGGTTGAGTTCGTCACGGGTGAAATCTGATCACTGAAGTTATGAATCCCGCGGTTAGTCACACGGCAGCGCAGCTGACCCTCAGTCTGTCGGCCGAAGATAATCAGCGCGTAGGCGTGGACGTCATCAGCTACTGTCGAGCAGTTCCGCCGCGGCCGGAACCTCCCCCGTTTTTTGCAGGAGCGGTCTTCTTCGGATGATTCACGCTGCGTCCTGCAGCCTTCGTGAAAGCGCGACCAGAATGGTTAGTAGACACATTCTTGCGCTTCTTCCCGTTGTTCGATTTCTTAGCAGCAGCGGTGTTCGGCTTCTTAGTGGTAGTAGCATTGACGGCGACAGACTTCCGATTATTCTTAATCGGGAAGGTCTTCTTCTGCTTCGTCTGCTTCACCTGTTTCTGCTTCATGTTCTTCTTGTCGCCGTTGTTAGCAGTAGCACGGCGGTGATGAGGAGGAGGAGTAGGCTTGAGCTTAGCAACAGCCTTCGCGACTTCCTGTTTGGCGATCTCACGCACGGTAGGATCAACAGGCAGATTCTCGGCTTCTTCAGCAGTAGCAGCCTTTTTCTCATCAATCTCCTTCTTCTGCTCCTTCACATGAATTTTGGAGAGGTTAGCTTCCATCACAAAAACCGACATAGCGTCCTTAAACTCAGAAATCACGCGATCCTTAAAAAAGGTAAGGTTGTCAGTCAGCTTCGAGTTTTTGGTGCCGATGTCGGTCTTCTTAGCAAGGTTGATGTAGTTCGTAATCTGATCCTGAAGACGTTGGTAGACAGCAGCAGTTTCATTGCGTGCCTGTTCAGCAGCCTTCTTCTTCATCGAAATCAGAACATCTTGTGCTCCCTTGCAGTAGTTCAAGCAGGCGGCTTGAAGTTCCTTATCAGCTTCCTGACGGAGTTCTTCGGAGTGGCAGACGAGAGCAAAAGGTTTGATCCGAATGCTGTGGGGAATGATCCCGTTGGCTTTCTGCTCCTCCATAAAACTGTGTTGCAGCATCAAAGTCCGGTATTTCAGAAAATTCTTCTTGAAATCCTTAACAGCTTGCAACTTAAAATCGTTAAGGCAGGAAGGCGTCGCCTGCTTTTCAAGGAAAAGATTGTTAATGTCACCAAGAAAATCGAACGAATCCAACATAACAGTGTCGTGGATCTGATGAGCAGACTCTTGTCGCAGCGTCGCCATGGTTGCAGGTTCAGGTTCCTTCGAAGGCCTTTCAGCGGGCTCAACGGCAGGTCTGATAGCAGGAACGGCTGCTGCAGAGGTAGAAGCAGGGACTGAGGTGTCGCAGGCTTTTCTCTTGCTCGATCGAAAAGAAGGAGACTCTGAAATCTTCAGGTTTCCAGCCAGCTCTTTATCATCACGGCTAGCTCTCGAGTTCCTGGACTTCGAGAGACGCGCGTGACGTTGAGCATGGATAATCTTGGTGTTGTCTTGGTTTGCATTGGTGTTGGTTGCATTGGTTGCAACAAATGTGTAGTTGGCCATCGCAGTAGTATCAGGTATCAGCGGAAGTGGACACCAGTTAGGTGCCATTGCAATAATACGTGGCAGCAACTTAGGTTCAACACCTGGTGAAATGTCAGTAGTACTTTGTAAAAAATGCTCGTATAAAAATCACGGTGGTAACCGGTTTCGGCTAGAATGCCTTCTTCAGACCACAAGCAATCTACTGAACGCGTACTACTTTATATGCCTAGAAAATGTCATCCTCGACTCAGGCCCGCGCGGGAAATCTTCGCTGCGGCGAGTTCGGGAACAACAGGCAAAAGCGAGATGAGAGAACAAGTGTATCAGCAACAAAACTACTGTAGTCTAACACTTATTAGCAGAAATCAAATAACTGCCAACTCTCTTAGGTAGTCTCCATGCGATTATAGCTCTCCTTGATGAAAAAATGTCGTGTGCCATAGTAACGAGGTGACTTTTGAGTCGACTCAAAAGTCACCTCATGCAGGGCGGGAGGTCGATATCATCAACTGGCCCACGAGCGTGTGGATAGGGCGGATGGAGGAAGGAGAGCATTGACTGGCCCACATGGCTTTGATGTAGCTCGTCGCTTGTCGTTTGACTAAGAAGCTTTCTTGGCTCATTCTCGTTCACCTTTATCACTCACCCCTTGTGTGCATGCAGGGCGGGAGATCGACATCATCGACTGGCCCACACGGGTGCGGATAGCGCAGAGACCACCTGTCGCATCACCCTGTTCCCCCGTTTCTCTCTGCCCTTTCGTCCTCCCATCGCCGCACATGTGTGCATGCAGGGCGGGAGGTCGATATTATTGACTGGCCCACACGCGTGCGGATAGCTCAAGAAGCAGCGCAGGGGCTGCTGCACCTGCACGAGAACAAAGTGATTCACCGCGACTTAAAGCCCTCCAACATCTTATTGGATCAGGTAGGGTCCGAGGAGCCATGCAGGGGCTACAGCACAGTGGGACAAGGTGCGGCACTGATTGGGCTGTGGCTGTGGCAGCGGGAGCAGCACAGTGGGGATGTTGCACCTGCACCGGAACAAAGTTGTTCACTGAAGGAGAACTGGGACCTGAACACCGTCCAACTTTATCGTGGTTAAGGTAGGGATTCGTGGCGTATCGAATGTACGGAGGTAACAGCACAGGTAGCAGTGCAGGGTGCAGCGCAGCGGCTGTTCTGTTGCATCTGCAAGGGAACAAGGTCATTCACTGAAGGAGAACAGGGACGTGAAAACCGTCTGACATCTTCGTGCAGAAGGTAGGGATTTGAGGCTGTATGGTGTGGTATTGTAGCAGGTAGTAGGTATGTTCACTCCACACACTTCACTCTATGCACTTGTGTTGAGATGAAATCAATGAACTATGGCAGGGAGGTAGCAGCGCAGCGAGGTAGCAGCGCAAGGAGAAAGCCGGCCAGCAGCATGAGCCACACAAGCAGTGAAGCACACACCTTCCACCCGCCTTGGCTATGTGCTCCTCCTTGTGAGAATAGAAACGGGAATGAAATGACTAAGGGAAAGTTGGGTACAAATGTAAACCCTAGAA